ACAACTTCTTCGAGAACTCAGAATACCCTTCTGCAAACAAGAGAGAAAAAAAAAATTATGACCATAAAATATTATACTGTTAAGTTACACAGAAACTCTGGTTAAAAATCATTACAAAAATAATATGTAAATATACTAAATGAAAGAGAAGAACAAAATGATTTTCATTTACCCTGCAAAGAAGATTTAGCAATATTTTATAACACAGATTTTGTTCTAACTTAACCTTTACCAAGTACAGACGACTGGTTCATTTGATAGCTGAAGAAAAATACATTTTCTTTACCATGCATACATTTTAATTTATTCCTCGATTATGACTCTTTCTATCGCCTTACTAAACACCAACATTTCTTACAGTCTGAACAAGTACAATATAGCTTACACAGCATATACTTCATTTCCTAAGTGAGACCCACCAAATCGTATCATACTTCTTTAACACGACGATTAGATAGATGTTTAGTTCCAAGAAACCTTCGTATATATAAATTTCGCTTACGGTCTTTTTATTCAGTTTATTTTGCTAAACCATCTAATCATCACGATATACATTACTTATCACATACACGGGCTTAAAACTGATTACAGAAAAACAAATTTTATAAAGACGATAATACAAGCTTGTCTATGGGAATTTATAGTGTTCATAAAGCAAAGCCTTTGTGTTATGACAGCAGTAAAACTTATATTAGTATCACGATATAATAATAAAAAAACATGAAAGGACACTAATTAATGTTAAAATATAGTAAAAATTCGACAGAACTTTCTCATATGAACTGTGACTAGGTGTTTAAACGCCAAGTACAAGGTATACTTTTACTCGATGTCAACACGTCTTTCTTGTTTTCTCTGATAATAAATGGTATAATAACACTATTAGTCACAAACGTAACTCACACGTGAAACTGCCCGACAGTTTTAGACGTTAATACTATCGTTTTCTATCAGTGTGACACGCGTGTTTTAGCAATAAGATTAATCTTCCCGGCTTGTTACGTGAAACGTATACCACAAACATCTTTTTCGTCTCTCCCATTCATCATATGCTTTTAATTTACGGGTTTTTTGACATGCCGAATTCATTTATGTCAACAAAAAAATACCTGCAGTTACATATACCATATGTTTTAAATGAAACCTTTTTCATTTTTTAAATTAAAAAAAAAGTGGTGATATTTTAAAATTTTTGATAGTGTGGTATTTTGAAACTCGGATTGAAAACACAGTTATTTGAATTATTGTTATAACAAAATATTACACGATTTACTCATCGACAGATATCGTAACACGCCGCTTGGAATGAAAGAAATTATTATTACATGTAAAACACACTATTGATAAGCACCTAATAAATACGGAGAGATGAGTGCTTTGACAGTGATGGATAAAAGTACCCGAAATTTAACAAATGAAAATTGATTGGAGTGACTGTATTTATGAAAATCAAAATGAAAGTTGACAATAATAAAAACCTAACTGTGGGCTGTTTATGAAATTATATTATATATGGTCGACGGTAAAACTGAAACTTTATACGCACGTATGGCCGTAGTCTCTCCCTATGGTGATATTACCCACCTATGTAATGGTGAATAATACAACTAGATTTTCTCCTGCTAAATAGGCTAGAATCTAGGGCTAAATTTAGCACATAACTTGTAACAGTTTCCTGGTTCCGAATTTAAAATATTAAAACAAAGGCTTATAAAACTTTATGATAAGTAACAGAAGGGTTTTAACTTATGATAGCTCACCACTACAGGCTATGTTTCTTTTTTCAAGTAACTAGCTGTTATATATAACTATGACGTATGGTAAAACAAGTGACGTCATCAGGTTTAATACTGTCAAACATGCAAGTGTATTAACAACTGTTAATCGATTCAGTGCTCTCAAAACTGTATATGTATAAATTAAGTCATGAATATCTTGGCCCATAAGCTACAGCACAAATTCGTCTAGCCACCAATCACTGCTAAAACTGGCCTTTAACTTCAATAATTGCCGTAACTGTAAAACGTATAAATTGCTTTATTGGTTATTTGTGATACGATATTTATAAGAACATATTTATACGAACTTTTGACCATTTAGCTGCAACTTAAAACTCGAGTTAAAAATCATGCGATTTCCACCTCGAGACTGGAAAAAGCACATTTTTTAATATTAACTCTCACACTAGCCTTATACATTACTTAAAATGTACTTAATGTTTAACTGTAAATTACCTGTCGTACATGTAGTAATATTACAAATAAAGCACTGCATCTTATGATTACTACTAGTTTGATAACTACTACTTGATACTGTTAAACTTGAGTTATCTAGTCGTACCTTCTCTTTTGAACAAAATTTATTTCAATATCAAACTGTAGCATAAATTACTATCTTAACTAATAAAACATTCACACCACTCAAAATTAGTTTATTCAATCGTTTCTTCAAGCAAAGAGTAATGCACCGAGACTAAAATACACTTAAATATCCAAACCGACACATGTATTTTCAGCTATGGTTCGAATGGATACTTATCAACTCGTCACTTTTAATCTTCATCGAACTTTTCGATAGTTGAGCAGGTTCGTGCAGATCTTCAGAACGTGTAATTTCCAGCAAATTAAATCCAATACTAGTCACCACTGGTTGCTGTAGTTTGGAAGAACTCGTCGTACAAACGTATGAAGCACAGTAAAGTAGATTTGTACACTATTTCAAGTATACTTCATACTTGTTTTGTTGACAGCTATCTTAAATAAAAGAGTCCAATTCTTACAGAATGAAGTATACACAGCTACTTTTCATGGTCATAAAAGGAAAAACAACAAATAACAAAAACTACAAACTTGCATAGTTGTCTAATATGTGTAAATTATTATACGAACCATAATGTTCATGAAGTCCTGTTAAAATTCCAGTAGGTCATGAGAACCAATAGCAACGGTGTAATTTTTTTAAACTTTGCAAAACAGCAATACTGTTAACATTGTATGATTGAACAGTTGTTTCACGTAACTATTCCTAATTTTGAGCAGATAAGACTACAGAGAAAGCAGCTAGACAACAGTACTCACAGCAACTCTTGGGCTACTGTTGTCTGATCAAACAGTGAAACTTAACTGTCACTCTTATTACTCATGGCTCCAGAGCCCTGAGGCAATTTTTTTGGTGACGTGTCATGAACCATGACTTATCGGATTCATGATCCAGACGCTATCTACTATAGCTATGCCAAACCCATTACAGAAAGTTTTAAATCCTCTATAAATTAAAGCAAGTACAAACTTAACCACCAAATATTTGAGTAAGTAAAATTTGAGTTCAGAGTATGCCAACACACACACACACAATAGGTATCATTCTACAAACTATTTTGTATGTTATATTGTTCTTTTAAACACACATGCACAGATATTTCACTGATTGTTCGATACATTAATATTGTTTTATCTCAAAGTTGCCAGATGACAATTACATTATTAAATACATTTTCCCTCTTCTCTTTTTGAAATAATGAATAACTGTTTATGTCAGTCTGGCTAAGTGATGGAATATTGTCACACTAATTAATGTCAAGTCCTTCAATGATTATCCAAACATACCACCAGACATTTACATTTATCCTAAAGAACTCCTATGAGAAGAAGTACTAAATCACTTATCACCACTACGGTTCTTTTAGTATCTGTTTTCATTATGTAATTTTATTTATGTATAGGATCAATCTTGGAAGGAAAAGTGATACAAGGAAATAATATGCATATATACCATAGATGTGTGACCAAAACTATTTTTGTTTTCCTATGACCAAAAACAAGCTTTAGAACTCACTGGTAGGTTTAAATATGTTAACAATAACGAAAAATCGTTAATACATTTTTTTTTTTTTTACATACTGTAGTTATATTTCTGAAATAAACAGAGTTATTTCAATACATCTAGCAATATCATAACAATTCAGAAATGACTAAAATACTTATCGTATTAAAACCCTTTTATAAAGACCCAGTAGTCTCCAAACTATTGAAACTGTTTATTGTCGTGTTTAAGTTACAGGAGAATTGAGAACTACACACATCCTAAACACACAATGCGAATAACCACTTCAGTATTTCAATACATCAACAACATAAAATAACAATAATCAATAAATACAAAACATCACTGTTTGCACATTATTCAGTTGTTAAACAATTATTCTGTTACTTCAGCTGTTATCACAAACTCTTGATTACACATTCAACATCAGATTTGGGGTTTAAAACATCTCAGGAAATATTTTACAATAGCATTTGTAATAGCTCATTTATAAACCACTTTTAATATCTAAAGACAATGATTAACCAAGTAATTTAATTCCAGGTAAAATGATAATTCAAAACAAGGGAAATTCTACCCTAGTTTTTAGTCTCTCATGATTTTGTTATTTCTTTGGATGCTTATCATTAACATTACAAATTACCTGTTTATTCAAATAATCATCACACAAAAATATTTTATGTAATAAATATCCTTAATGTATACATATCAGAATTTTTATTTTTATGTGTTTAATTTCCATAAACTTTGTACAATGAGTGCTGGTTATTCATTATTATTTATCAACCAGATTTAGTATAAATTATTTCTTATTCAATGTGACATGATATCAACACATTTTATTTTGGTTGTTATTTAATGGTCTTTAACAAGTGCTGTTATATGTTAATACACATACAGTTATACCAGATTATTAGTTTATGACTGGTAAACATTTAACTGACATTTTGTTGACATAATTTTGTGTTTAATAGCATGGAGCATCATGGTTTTTTTCAGACTGAAAATTTTTCCACAATGAGGACATGGATAGCTACGGCTATCATAGGAAACACGGTTGTGAGAAGCCCAGTGAATTTCCATGTCATCTTTGCTGGCAAACCAAATTCCACACTGAGAACACTGGATAGCAGTGGTGGAAGAAAAACCTCTGGATCGTAATCCTGAATGAAAATAACAAGAACGTTTTTATTCAAATCCTCAGCATTGTACTTAATCAGTATATGATATGTACACACATATAACCTTATAAGAAATTAAACAGTAACATAAAATTAATATCATTTCATGTTATAATGCCAATATAATCTGCATGAGCAACATGGTTAACAGGAACAGTCTCTTTAGTTCTGTTACTTTTTTGCAATGAAAGTTTTATTCACTGTAGAAAATTCAAAGAGAAATAGAAAAACCTTGTAAAAAGTACATAAACTAACTAGTGAAGCAAATTAATGTTTAAAAAGCATATTTCTTCTAATTAATACAATTACCTAACTGAAATTGCCCATCAAAATATTTTCAAATATTTTATACGAAAAATCAGAGTATAACCTCAGAAACATTTCACTTGATGATGTTCAGTAGAACCCGAGCACTAACTGATATTCTAGAACCTCTTGAAAGTACTTCACTTGATCCAACAAAATATCAGTACAATTTACAAAACATAAAAAATTAAAAAGATAAGTTAAAAATTTAAATTGTTTACGTGCTCATGATTTATGTAGCTCAAGAGATTTTAAAATACTTTCTCAAGGAACTATTCTAATCTTTTATTAAATCTCACAAAAAATGCAAAACTTGTACAGTTTGAAGCCATATTGTAGTACAGTTTTTTTTGGTAAACTGCATTATGTACTTAGTACAATTAAGAATTCAAAAAGATCTAACTTTTTAAAATAAATTACTTCATAAATAAACCACAATAAAAATCCAAATCTTCTGCTTGCCTGCAAAAAAAGTTAGAACATTGAAGTTTCAGTTTGTATTAGGCCATGATTATTCAGATGTTTTTTCAGATCTCCTGGCCAGTTGAATATTTTGCTACACTTTGGGCAGCCAAAAGTTCTTTTTACTGGCCTGTGCATCAGTAGATGCCGTCTTGTATTATATCGGTTAGAAAATACTTTTAGGCACAAAGGACAAGTTTTTTGTTTGATGAATGAAGATAAGTCTTTCCTCCATGAGTTCTCAAGAGATTTTTCCCAAAAGGCCACAAGTTGACTTTCACTTCCTATAATAAACAGTAGCTGAATTAATTTTTTTGTAGAACGTGTGCATGTGTGATCCTTAGCTTGGTACAAAGTGTACTACTATTCTATGATGTTTCATTAAATGATCATTAAACATTAAGAGTAATTTACTAAAAAACATAAAATTAAAAATAAAGTAATATAAAGAAAAATGTGATAATTTTATAGTTGGTGTACTTCATTAACAATTGTCTGTATGACTGTTTTTTACATATCCAACAATCATATACATGTATCTAGCACAGATATAATAATGATTGAATCATGAACATAGTCAATTTACTAGACAATTTCTACTTGTTTTGCACTGTTCTACATAAATAAGAGAATTTATGTTCTAGCACAGCTGTGAATGAAGTCTTTGTTATGTGTAAGTACACTTGGGTGACTAGTTAGTTCACTAGTACTGTTAAATGCAAGTTATATTTCAGTAATGTACTCTCTTCTGACAACTCATTTAATCTTAAAGAACAGGATAACTGCATAGCTGTCTCTACTCTCAGCCAGTAGACTACACAGACATAAGATACTGAAAACCACATTACCAAAGGCTAAAATATTTCCTTAAGTTCTAATGTATCCGACAATTAAGATTATGATATAAAGAATCACTATTTAACTTAGTTCATGTAATTTATTTTTACGTGTACAACATTTAAAAAAATATATATGCTAGGTATCATTCTAAAAACAGTTTAAATGCAGAAATTTCTCTGAAAATGTAAAATCCTGCAATTCTTGTTGTCAATGTTTTCTAAACAGAAAAAATCTAATTTCTTCCATCATTTCTAGTTGAAATGCTACATCCGAATGTTCAAGAAAAAACTTTTTCTACGTCTTAACATATATTTCCTTTCAAACCAGAATTTCTAATGATATTATCATTTTGCAACACCTGCATCTCTTATTTTTTAGTTTCTTTACACATAAAGCACAAAATGAATAATATCAGTATTTCTTTCAGAATAATTCTCAGACACAAAGTATGCAGATAGGTCCTTTATTGTACTGTTATCAGATACTGATAATCTTAACCTGTAATATGCAGAAACATCATTAAAAAAATTCACATTGAGTTCAAGCATATACAGCCGTGATAAAAATCTGCACTATCTAACTCACAAGCCATCATAAATATAACAATATTACTTAGAATATAACTTAATGATAAGTTACAGTCATACAAGTTTTATCCACTTTTTAGATTTTATGCATTCTTGTAAGAAGGAAGATTACAACAGTGTGGAACACATACTAGTATACTTATGCCGTGTATATAATCACAATCTTATACATCCAGCAATAACCAACTTCTGGGCTATTAACTGTTCAACGTAGAAAGCTTAAGTACACTGTAAGCATACATGTATGTAAAGTTTATCCCTTCGTATTCTTCTAAGTCACCACTTTATGTCTGCTGCTGGTGAGAAAGAACAAGGTGTCTTTTCAAGTGTGCTTTTCTGGTGTAGGAGCGATTACAATATGGACATGGGAAGTACCTCCACTGCTTGTGTTGAAAGTACTGGTGGGTTGCTAGAGAGGCTTTTGATGACAATGTCCGTCCACATATAGAACAGAATATGCTTGATTTTCCTCTGACTTCTGGAAAAAGTCTTCTAACTGATGAGTCTCCTTCCATAATAATGCCTGGAACAATTAATGTTTCTTCAAGCTAATTCTCTCAAATAGTTATAACAAACTTGTAAAAATGATGAAATAAATGCCAGTAATATGAATCTTGAAATGAAAACAAACATTCTGCAAAAAAAAAACTTATGAATTCACTGCTTTAGTGTAAGATTTTACTAATTTTTTAGCCATTAACACTACTTTTAAATCAACAACTGAATATTTTGATTATTCTTTGGGTCATGTAAATACTTAATTGTACAAAAAATGAAAATAATAAATTATCTTTGCTAGATAAACAGTAAAACAAAACTTCATTTATCTCACAATTAAACATTCTGAATTAAGGACTCATGTTATGAAATTACAGTGAATGATCAGCTATATTTCATGAAATTGTTCATTCTTATACAGAAATAACAGATGGAAGTGTGCCAAAAATTTCCTGAGATACTCCTTTTTGATAACAGCTTCACAACTAAATATGTTTCTCATGGATCGTTGGTTAAAAGTGAACAAATAGTAGAATAATAAATACAAGTGTTATACATCTCTGACTGGTTTGTTTTAGCACAAACTTACACAATAGGGTTTCTGCATTCTGTCCACTGCAGGGAATCAAACCCTGTATTTTAACATTGTAAGTTTACTGCTTACCCACTGGAGGACATACACTTTTGATATATATATATATATATATAATTACACAATTATTAAATAGGTTTCACTGTTTATATTTATACTTATGTACACTACATTTTCATTATAACTTGAAGTTTTTTAGTCTAAAAGAAGAAGCACACTGTGTCTTGACAACAAATAAGAAATACTTCTTTCTTTTTTTATTAACTATTTTCTGTTTCTTCAACTTATTTCTTATTATAGTTTTTTTTATCCTTACCTGCTGCATTAGTTTTTAATTTTTCACCTGGCGAGTAACACCATCGCAGACAAGTTACATTTAAACTCATTACCTTTCAGTAATAAAATACCTATACAGTCAGTGTTTAAACTTAAACTCAGTAACATTTGTTTAAGTACAAAGCTATACAATGTGCTATCTGTGCTGTACAGGCTTGTGTATCAAACCCTGATTTTTAGCATTGTAAGCCCACAAGCTTTCTAGTAAGTCAATTTGGGGTAAACTCAGTAATATATTACTTTAACTACTGTTTAGAATATGAAATACTGTAGAATTCTTTCAGAAACTTAGGCTTTGCTAGTATATAACAGAGTCAAGTTAAATATGATCCATAATGTCTCTAGCAAACAAATTCAGGGGCACACTTTTCTAAATGATTTTACTGAGCTTGCTACAATATCCACTAATCACATGCACATAAGAATCATGGTAATGTAGCTTGTTAGAGCAAGGGTAGATGCAACAAAATCAGCAGGACTAATGTATGGAAAAAAATTGTTACATATATAAAATATTTTATAAAGATAAAGTTACCCATCTTTATTTGGCTGGATCACTTAAACAAATCAGAAAAATCTTCAGTATTAGTAAAACAAACAAAAAAATACCAAATTTGAAAGAATATAAAAAAAAACTTACCAGTTGGTGTAAGCAAATTACACAGATAAAAACCCAGATAAGTTGTTTGTCCAGGAGAGATAAAAGAACAAATAAGCACACAATGACAAAAAACGAAGCAGTAATGAAACTTAAACAAAAATAGCACTTACAAAAAAAATCAAAAAATCTAGCTTTCATAAAAACTAGTTATGTTAATAAAAGACTAATTTTCTATACACTGCATAGAAAGGAAATCATAAGTCTCTAAAATCAGCAAGTGTTTTGTTTTTAACGTCTAACCTTTGCTTATACTATTTACTTTTCAGATAAACAAAAACAAATGGGTGTTAGGTATTCTTTAGTTTTATTCATTCTATTACTTAACATAAAAAATGTAAGAACATCACTTTACAAATATCAAGAAGTAAGGAATTACCAGTTTTAGTTCTTTATACAAAAACATTTACACACATTACAAATGAAAAGATCAATAAAATTAAAACCATAAATTAATAACTTTTCAATTTCATTATCAATCCTGTTCTTTTTAACTGCTTTTATCTGATAATAAATACATCTTTGTCGTTACTCGAGAGTAAGATAAATTTCACAATTTATGATTACTTATTTTGTAGTAATTAGAGATTATAAAACAGCTTTGTACACATAAATGAATGAAACACATCACTGTACATCTAACAATCAAAACGTGCATTTTTAAGCATGTGGTAATTACTACATATATCTAAATACTTCAAAAGTACATAAAACACAACTCAATATGCATGAAAATCAACAAAAACTCTTTCTGCAGTCAGAAAACCAAATTCCATATGCTTTCAGTAAAATGCTTATAATGGTGAACTTGACCCACATCCTTAAACACATAATTAATGGAATATACTACTAGCTTTGCCAAGTCAATTAAACACACCACTGTATATGTCACAATACTACAATTCATTTCACATAACAGAACAGTCAGTAAAATAAAGCTTTGCATATAAAGGTATAAAATGTCACTTCTGGAGATATGAAAGACAAAATTGAACATACTGTTATATAAATGTAGCTGGTAGTTGAAAATACACCTTTGGCAATCAGTGCATTTTTAAACAATTAATAAATGAAACATGTTTCTTCAAGAAAATGAGAATTAATATCATAATCACTCTGATCAGAACAAAAATATTCAACTCACAGTCTGGATACTTACTTTGCCAGACAAACTGTAATAAAACTTAAGCTCAAGTGGTAACAGTAATTCAGTTACCTGAATTACTTTGTTAAACATGCTGGAATATTAAAGTTCAATAATACAGCTTATTTATGTATATATATATATCATTCCCATTCTATTAACTAGAAAATCACTGTGCCTGTAAACAATATTATTATATGATATTAAGGCACAGTTCCATAATTAGGCCATTACACATTACTGTTTACAATATCAAAGCTTGAAATATATAAAATAAAGTGTAATTAAACATTATAAGGTAGTTACATCAGACCACATCCTCACCAACAACTGTCTATAAGCATAATACATAATGTAATAGTTGAAATGTTAATTGGCACACTTTCCTTGCTGGAAATTCCAGTATGTAGTGTTAAATGTCTTGTTGTGTCCAAGGGCACGAGAACTAGGGATGCTGCTCGTGCATGGTTACCATCATAATACAAGCGTTTCATTCTATTTAATGGTTTTCATCACCCCCACAACAAAAATTTGTTAAAGCATCAATGGTTGTGACACTACATGCCTCATTGTACTTTATACTACCAGCAGTCGTACTTCTAGTGTGAAAAATGTTTTTTGTAAACCACAATAAGATCAACTCATGCCACTTCTCCTACAAGTAAGTTCCTTTTTCAAAAGTTTATAATTTATATTCTATTGAATTCTTCAAATTTTATAGTTTGAAAACATTTCAAATTCTCTTAATTCCTGTGATGAGAAACCCAAGTTTCACAATTTGAGTTCCTACAACTTCAATTCCATTTAGTAACTAAAGATAAACAATTATCTATTAGCATCACTTAGTGTCATATAAAATAGTCAATTAACTGAAATAACAATTAAATCATTTAATGTCATGAAAATAATCAGTTAATTGAAACTGTTTCCGATTGTTATTTTTACACTTATTCAACTATCCAAGTAATATTGAAATATTGCCATTATGATTTTTTCTTTATTATTTGTAATTAATTCAAAGTTGTTCTTCTTAATCAATTAATATCACAGCTCATGAGAAAAATAATCAACATTTCCAATTATTATATATTTAGATAATTTCAAATCTAATGTAAGAATAATCAATTAGTTGATTGATTAATTAATTGATTAATAAGTGCAAGAATTAAATGATTATCAAATTCATTGATCTGCCAGCTGTACCAACAACTACACCTTTTTTTTTCAAAATTTATATATAATTTTGGTGTACATGTATACACATTTGTTAAAATGAAGCATAGAAGTAATAACTTAATCAAGTTGAAGGTGGTTTAAAATTCATTGGAGGGTTTCAAAAAATTCTTGGTGTCCACAATCATTGTTTGAAGTCTCATGGCATGAGCTACGCGCGTATGACGGTACAAGTTGTTTTTCCACTTGAAAACCATGGGGCACATAGGACAGCGATGGGCTGTTAATTCATGCATACTTTTGTGTTGTTTTAGACCTTTAGTTGTTGCAAAACAACGGCCACAATGGGAACATGCCATAGATGTGTGCATCTTGCTTCGTTCATAAACAGAAACAGTGAAGTTATGGTAACCTGAAAAAACAGTTGTAACTATTCAGACTTACTTTACTAACTTCCTACACTTTTCACACATACACTTAATTCTTTCGAATTATGAAAAATGATATTGAGAATATTTTTCACAATAACTCACTTAAATACTCAACATCATATACTATATCAAAAACTAAATAATATTCAATTACTTAATGCATAATATCCTAATCCACTGGATGATAAATTTTATCTGCACTACTGTACTTGACTACATACAGTGTACATTTATTTATATATACAGTAATTGTGCAAAAAAAAGAAAGAAAAAATACTTTTATTACAAATTTGAAGAGTAACATTTCATTCTGTGAGTCCACATAAAATTACCAAATCTACAATGACAAGTTTCTACAGTGGAATTACTGAATGCTACCTTTCTACCTGCTAAAACTTTCAAATTACCAAAATAAACATATCTTCAAAATAATTTATGCACCGACTTGCTAAATGGTTCATTTCTTTGATAATTATAGGATGGCTAAAAACATACGAGCTACATCCAAAACAAATGTCAATAAAAATCTTGACAATGTTACAATTAATTAAGAGCAAAAAAAACACAAAAACTGATGTATTTTGGCACAATGAAAGTTAAAAAGTTTTATTATTAGTTACCAGCCAACAAGTTTCAGTAACATAGCTGCCATCATCGGGGCTGGTGTCTAGCTTTCATTGTGCCAAAAAATGTTGATTTTTGAGTTTTTTACACTTACTTTAGTAGCAAAATGTGCCTAAAAAATTATGCCACAATTAATCTCATTAAGTATTACTGGGTTTCCCATGTATTTCAAACAAAAAATTAGTGCTTTCACACTTTTTATATCACCTTTTGTACTGAGGGTTGTGACAGGAAAAAGGACAAAACATTAAACAATATGATGCCATATGAAGACCCCACTGATAATGAACAATATGCTAAAAATAAAACAGTAAGTTTATGTAAATGAAAACAAACAATGCAAGCAAAGTTTTGCATACATTCTTATCTGGGCCTAATATCTACCTCTAGTCCAATTATACATTTTACAAAAAAGTACTTGATATACACTGTATAAAAAAATATAAAAAAAACCACTTAAAAATGCTTATTTATTCATTACTTTAACAACATATGCACAGAGTGAAACTACAGTCAGTACGAAAGCAGATTGGACAACATAAATTTTTATTGGAAATTTCCAAATAATTATAAACTCATCTGATGGTACAAGATACTTAAAATCTCTATAAAAGGAATTCATGGGTACAATTTTCTAAATGACACTTCTACTAGGCTGGCTTAAGAGCTCCATTGGTTATGTGTATATAATAATCATAGTGCTTAGACCTAGTAATTATTAAATAACTTTCTTTCAATGTTAAGCTTCAATGAAAAAAACTGTAACTAAACATTTATCAAATTTCTTGCAGTAACTACACTAGTGACGGTTCACAGCTTAAACATCATACGATTAATCAACCTTTATTAGCTGTTGTCTAGTAATCTTAATATGGTATCTGACTATAATTCTGTTACTTTTTTATTTACTTCGTGCATAACTATTTAAGATGACTATGTAACAGGAGGCACATTAGAATAACAGTTACACTAACTTGTAAACACAGTATTTATCTGGCTCACAAAACTTCAATTGCTTACTTTTTTTAAGAGGAATACAAGTTAAAAATTACATTACTATAGAAATACGAGTAATTTTTTGCAATTTTTTAAATAATGAAATAGTTTTCCTTTTTTTGACTTTTTTCTTTTAAGTTAGCAAGTAAAGATATTTATAGCTACACTTGGACGGAAAAATACAAAATGATGTGGCTGACCAACAGTAAAGGAAGTTTCAGCTTATTTTAATAGGTAATAATTCCTCATAGTCTACCAGAGTATTTTTGCAAAATCTAGTTTGTCATAAAAACATAGTCAAAGGAAAAAAAATCCTTAGAGGACAGTTATATATTTAAAATAAAGCCTTCAGTTACAAAGGTATTATCTTTTTCATAAGTGAATTTTGGAAATTAACATTAAATCTACATACAAGAATTACAAAAATTCTTAATAGTAAAAATAACCTTAGGCACATACCAATGTAAAATTTATTTTTTTGCTATATCGTATCATAAATAATCACTACAATATATTGTACACAACATGTACAAGCAAAGTACCTTTATTTCATTCTTTTGTTTTATCACAAGTACTTTTTAGTACATTAAATGAAAACACATAAGCTGAATTATTTTTAACTAACAAATCATGTCTTTACCTAGTATTACTCTAAAACATAAGACAGAAACAGTACGTCTAAATACCTTACATTTCTACAAATACAATATAACCAGTTAATCAAGGATGACATTACCATATGTATTTGCATATTTGAAATGAAGAAACAACAACAAAGAAATGAATACAACAGAAACAGCACTTGTTTAAAATGAACAAATCAGTAAAATATAAAAATACTCTCAAGGATAACGTCAGATTGTACAGGTAATTTTATTTCATAGGTAAAAGTGAAGACTATTTTAAACCCTCAATGAAACTATATTTAAACAAAGTTTCTTACAAAAAAAATTAACCTCTTCACTGTGAAATCTACACCACAATACCTCTTACATATACACATCTCTACATCACTTGAGTCAGCTTATTCAGAAACTTGCGTAGTATCTTCACAATGTTAAAACCATAGTTATACAGTAATTATTACCCAATATTATTGAACAAACGTTACAGATAAATATAAAAGTTTTGTTCAATTTTAGAGTATATAACAACAACTTTTTTTTTTTCTGCTATACTGAGGAATTTTTAAACTAAACTTAACCTACAGAAGTTCATCTCAAGTTAATATAATTTTTGTTTAATTTCTGCACAAAGATACAAGGGCTATCTGTATTAGTCTTCTCTAATTTTGATGTGATAGAACTAAAGGAAAGACAGCTAGTCAACACACCACTACTGACTCTAGGGCTACTCTTTAAAAATGAAAAGCGAGATAGACCTTCATATCATATACCCTCACAGTTAAGAAGGCAGGTTTGTTTGGTGATATATTTCAACCCTACAACCTGCAGACTGTGAGTTGAAGGCCCTAGCCACAAAGTCATAAACAAATATCTTGATATGACATTAGTATAAAGGTTTGATAAACCTTCATTTAGCATACTGAAACATCTGAAAGTCAGGTAGGAGACAAACAATAACATAACACTCTAGTATTTGTAAACATTATGCTTATATGCTGGGATATCTGTGAGTAAGTCAAATGTCTAGTAAACCTATTATTATTTTTGATAGAAAATCAGTACAATGTTAGGTGTAATGGGGTATCAAAAAGAGGAAAATCAAAAGTTTAATCAATCTTAGGTTAGATTACTGATATATCTAATAATAAATAAAAGAGCTAATAAATTGTGAGTTGAGTTACCTAAGAGTAAGCTAACAGTTTAGTAAACATTTAAATAAAATTGACCAACTCCTTTGCTTGATAAATTCTTTCACATTTAAACAAAAAAACATTAATAATAATGAATGTATAACATTACAGATATTACAGATGTATAGTAGGAGAAAAATAACTGAAACACAATTACAATAATGATGAAAAAGAAAAACCTGTTCTTAATTGTGCTTTAAAAGTTTAGTGTTTATTCTTTATGATAAAATCTGCACACAATAATTAGGCATACCAGCTACTTCAGCACTGGATGACAACTGTATCTTAAATGATATGCTAAGTTCCTTTTGTACTGAAATTTGGCAAAGCACTGTGGGCAATGAATCTTGTCCATATGACGCTCCATGTGTAGTCGCAAGTTAGCCTTTCCTTTGAAAGTTTTTCTACAAATTGTACAAAGAAATGGATATTTTGCTGGTCCTGAGTTGAGATTAAATCTTGCTCTTGGTTGGTAACTCTCATTCATTGAATCTAAAAAACAAAACAGTTATGTTATCAGGCTGGAATTCATTAAAGAAATCAATCAAGGATCCAAAGGTTATCAGATAAGTTTAATCAGTAAAGAAACTGAGAAACTCCTTTCACCTAGAAACAAGGATTCTTAGATCTACTCCAAGTAAAAGAAAAAATATATGTTGAAAACACTGATTTATTAACCATCTTATATTATAAATGAGAAAGTTTAATCTTTAAGTACACAAATGCACAAAATTATGCCAAAAATATATGTTGGTATTAACAGAAATGAAACTGGAATTTCATAAGAAAGTATGAAACTTTTAACCCTTTTTTGTAATTTTTTTACGACACAAATCATACACTTTATAAACAGTTCAGGTAATTTGGTATTAAAACAAAATATATTTAATTATTATTTTATGTTTTGGAATACAAATTATTGGTCTTTAACACACAGGCCTTAAAACAGCTATGGTATTTTAGTGCGACAATTTTTATATGCATCAAGTTAAAAGTAACAAATGAAAGAAGTAATAAATTGAATACGATATACTTTAATAATATATTTCTCTCAATGAAAGCCTGTATATTAACTAATGAAAGACGAATGTTTGTTAGATTTATTTTAAAAGGGGTAATACTTACTGGAGAGAAAGTGTATTATTTTGTTATTGTGAAGAGACTCAGTGATGAGTGAAGTTTTGAGTGAGTCTTTTTTACATAAAATAATTTCCATAATTTTAATGTAGTTAAGCCAAACTAGTATTTGTATTTGAAATTAAAAAATCTAGAGAAAAGTTTTAAGTAGCAATAATGAAAATGTACTAATATATATTCATTTTCTGTTTTTATCAGATCATTAAGTAATCTTAAGGAGTAATAAGAAAGGGCAACTGATGTCATTTTTTGAGCTGCAGCCAAAATATATAGTATTTACCAAAATTATTTTTCTGTTTTCCAAAATTACCCATGAATCATGTTAACTAAAAAATTAACATTCAGTGGATTTTCATATTTTATTTCTAATAGAACCATGCTTAAGGCTAATTCTTTTAAATTAATGAATCGTGTAACTATAAATAATTTTCACTAGTATGTATCTATTTTTTGGATTTTGTGCAAAGATACACAAGAGGTATCTACAGTAGCTATCCCTAATTTTGAAGTGAAAGACTAGAGGGAGTGTATTTTCTCATAGCAAAGCCACTTCGGGCTATCTGCTGTGTCCATTGAGGGGAATCGAACCCAATTTTAGTATTGTAAATCTGTAGACTTACCACCATCCCACTGGGGAGTGACTAGAGGGAGAGAGCAACAAGTTAATATCACCCATTGCTAACCAAATAATGAAAATTAACAGTCACTCTTATAACACGCCAGTCTCAAAGTGCAGAGTGGGATTTTGTTGGTGGTAATGGATTCAAATTACACAACCTCAGCTCCACAGTCCGGTATGCTAACAACTGTCTGGTCTCACACATTTTTACTAGTAATACAACATATCACACACACACACACATACATAATGATGAAAAGATGAATGTACGTGAGCTTCCTTCGATTTCAATCTTCCCGAGATGGAAAGAAAAATAAACATGTTTCTTATAAATGTCTTACATAAAAAAATTAAACAACTTAATAAACAGATCACATTCTAAAAAACGACATAAAAAGAATATTTCACACACACACAAATCACACCTGAATAGTACACTTTGAGGTTTCAGGCACAGAAGCTACTTTGAAGACTGACATGTCCATTTAAATAGCTTAACTTTTTGACACTCATATAAAAACATTTTCTATATAGGAAGGGAAAATCTACAAGCTTCATCCACTCATCACGATAATTATTTCAGATATATATACATGTTTGTGTGTGTAAAAATGGGAAATTGTACTTCTTTAGTCCTCAAGCTCGTTTGTATTTACAAAAATGTGGCTATAGTCCATCTTCAATGTTACTAAAGCAAGAAACACAATTCAGCATGCTATAACACTAAAAACAAATTACTTACTCAGTAATATACTAAATTAACATAACTTGAATAGATTTACAGGATAGAATCTACATGTATAGTTTCTTATATAATTTGCTCTATCCCCAAAACAAACAATACCCTGTAAAGTACTGTGCATAAACATATAATTTAAAGTTCATTATGGTGATTAACTAAAATACCAAACATTTAAATAAGTAATTGAGAATTACTTTAAGCATACAGACCACAACTACAGTTCTTTGACAAATTCATTTAATTCATAAATGAACACATTTTTTGTAAAGCATTTTTTGAAATTTTTTATTATACCTATGTGTAATGACTGAAAAATCTTTAAAAATAGTCAAGAACCATTTTGCTAATTTAGCAATAATATTTTTGTAAATAAATGCTCATTACACATTATCCAGATGACGATTTTTGCAGTATTTTCGAAGATGAAGGATAAGAGATTGTCTCCATTTAAATTTTATGAAGCATGATGGACACTGATGCATTTTTTTCCATGACTGTGCATATGCTGTTGGAGGTAACGTCTTGCTTTGAAGGATTTATGACAAATAGGACAAGTCTGTGAAGCTGGGAAAACTCTAGGTGAAACTGTCCACATTAGGTGTTCTGAAAAAATAAAAAAAAGCATGAGAATACAGGACACAAATATATTTAGTCTAAATTCAGTTTACAGTGTGACTTTAAATGCATTATTGTTTGTTTTCCACTTTAATTTGCTTTTCATTTCTTATCTCACATAACTCCTTTTCTAAAGTAACTCAAATCTCTCAAGTATTGATCAATTTAACTAACAGTTTTCAATGAAATGTACAATCAAATTCCTAAATTTACACTGTCACATCACACACAAAACACAACCTAAACTGCTTGATTATTTGTTGATAGTACCACAGATCTACTTACATAAAATGTATATGGCACTGAAAAAATACTTTTTTTACACAGCAAATTGTATACACATATATATGATCGAGCAACAAAACATTACATGAACAATGATAAACACACAATTTCTTCTAAATACATACATGGTAAAACTTACAAAAACTGGAGTAATAAAGAAATGCTTGACTCATAAAACCCACATAAGAGAGATTAATTCTTAGCAAACTTTCGAGGAATTATTTTGTGGTAGGAAAGATTGTTTCATAGCTAGAAGTCTTCCAACATATATCACACAGGTAAAGTTATCTTTTCACCCTATGTATATCCAGATGTTTGTTGTTGTTTTTTACACACTGTACAGAGGGTTTTTCTTGAAATGAAAGCCTAATTCCAAATAGTGGATCAATCAATCTCATCTTCTTACCTATAAGTTCAAGTTAAACAATATTATAGACATAACAATATTCTTAATTAATGGAAAAAAATAATTTTCTAAATTTAAACATTGTTGGCCAGCAAAAACAATGTGCCCGAAGAAAATTATATATTCATACAAGTCAACAAAAAGCATACAATCAACCATGTAAACAGCTTAGAAACAACACATTTCTTCCATTTTCATAATTTTGCTTGTAAATAATAGTTATTGTATATCACCAAAAAACTTCAATCTTTCAACTGGTTCTCTTAAGTTGAAACAGTGCTCTTTCATAGTTAAACAACTTCAAACAAAGTTTTTAAAACTAAAAATTTATGTAGAAGTTAGGCTGCATATAATATACGGAAAAAATCTAAACTTCTTCTTTTTTCTTTTTTTTACAGCCATCTTTTGCAAAAAACATTGTGAATGATATTGCATACTTACCAGGAATGTTGTGTTACAAGGGTATCTTACTAATTCTCTGTTTCTAAAGTATAAATGAGAATATTCTCCCATTTTCAGTATATTTAAACATAATTTTTGAAATAAAATGATTAAGAAGCTAAGTCTTGTGATTTTTAAAATACATTTATATGCACACTTAGAAATGTTTGGAAATACAAAACTAATTATCACTACATTATGTATGACATTCAAAATTACAAATAGTTTTCTGTGAAACCTTCATATTATCTAACATTTTGACAATGTTTATTTGTCCGCTGTGATGGCAAAGATATTAAGCCCTACAGAGAACATTCAGAGACTATACAGACACTCTAACAATCTTGTCATGAAAAGGTTACTTTGACCACAGTATTGCAAAAGTGTAGGTGTGTGTTATTTGTGGTGATAAGGCAAATTTGACTGTTTGTGAAGATTAGTGTGTGTATTATATTTGGAAAATTACAGTATTTGACTTGAGTACAGCATATGCCTCCTCTAAGTTTGGTTTTTAATATAAAAAAAATGGTTTCAGCAGAAAAGATATTAGGATAAATCACAAATGGAAGGAAGGGAAAAAATAGTTGTTTAAACTTTTCTTTCAATCTAAAATTCCAAATCTGTGGCAATATTATGTAATTATGTAAAATCAAAAATGTCTTATTCACAAACAACACAAACACAAGAAAGTATTTAGAAAAGTCAGAAACTAATAGTTTAAAGCAAGAATACCATAAACCTACTAGTAACTGTCATAACAATTTTCAAAATAATAATTATGAATATTTTACATTGTTCTTAACAGAAATTCTGTTTTATTCAACATAATCATTTATCAGTGCTATTCAACCAAACTTCTTTATATTTTTAATATAGTAACACAATATATTCAGTAGTATTCAAACTAATATTTTTAAATAACAAGCCTTAATTGCCTTGGTATGATGTTTCAAACAAGGCAGGCTTGGCCTTGTTATTGGATGTTTTTCTTAAACCCAGAAATTAATATACAAAATACATGCCTCATACATGTATTAATATTTGAGTTCTTTTGATATCACATTTGATTCAAGGATCATATATATATATATATATATTTCTGTTATGACATCATTGTTACGACTGGAAATTACAATGGATTTTATAAAATAATTTTATGGCTTAATATATATATATATATATGTCATTAAAAAATGATGGAAAATTTTTAAATGGGCTAAGAAAATGAAATTAATTTTAAAGCATTACACACTAGAATAAAATTATCTTGTATTTATTATATCAAAATGTTTTTATATTTGTACTGTACATTAATTTAAGTGGTAAAAACAATATGAAATAAATTAGTACCAGAAAAGAAATTAAATGAATTAAAGTAAGATTATAACATGAAACTCTGATGATGTTTAAGTTACTGAAGGTAAAAGTTTGATGATGAAGAACCCACTTCTTAGTACTAAGAGTTTGGAGACAATTTGACTAGGTAACTGACAAGTACCTGACGATGACATAATATTTACAATAAAGTTTTTTCATTACCCAGTCAAGCCATCCCCAAAATTTTATTTGAAGGTAAAAGTGTTCCTCAAAGTAATACTTTTAGAAATAGACATCTTTGATTGATTAACATATTACATCACAACTAAATATAACTTTATTTAGTACAAACATGATCATCATTACACCAGATATTTTCTTATACATTAATGGGGAATTTTATCAATTTGAGACACCAATATACTACAGTACTATGTTAAATCACATACATCTCTAAAAAATCATAAATAATCAAATCATGTATTACTACTGCTGTTAATAATTAATCCATATATTGGTTGTTGAATATATATACACAAACTGTCCACATAACTATTTTTTTTTAGCAGTGCTTAAAATAGAACTTAAAACAATGAAAATAAGAAGAGGTAGAAAATAACTTTTTATGGTAGTAGTGAAAATTTGTTACCTGCCTGAAAGTTAATAGAATTATCTTATTCATTAGCTGTTTACATGCATAAAAATATGTATATAAAAAAGCAAAAATTGTAGTAACAAACTGAATAGCCTACATTACTACATAGTAGACTGTACGTTCCTTAAATCACCTTGTGCTTAGCTGTTTGGGAAATTGGCACAATTATTCTTCCATATTCTACAAATATTGATAAGGCCTATAATATTTCATTTCTTTTTTCATTGAGAGTACAGTAAAAAAAAACAATATTTCAATCAAATCTGATCTGAAAAAAAAGAAAGAACTCTTTTAACATGATATCACTACATATAAAACAATTGTAAAACTTCATGTTAAATACTGCAAATGAAAAAACAACAATAATATTTCAATGAAGTCTGATCTGAAAAAAGAAAGAACTCTTTTAACATGATATCACTACATATAAAACAATTGTACAACTTCATGTTAAATACAGCAAATGAAAAAACAACAATAATATTTCAATGAAGTCTGATCTGAAAAAAAGAAAGAACTCTTTTAACATGATACCACTACATATAAAACAATTGTACAACTTCATGTTAAATACAGCAAATGAAAAAACAACAATAATATTTCAATGAAGTCTGATCTGAAAAAAAAGAAAGAACTCATTTAATATGATACCACTACAATTGTACAACTTTGTGTTAAACTAAAATATAAAGATTTATGAAGGTCTGCAAATTAATCAATAGCTACAGTACTTGAAATTTGTTTAATGATTCTAAAAATAGTTACATTCATGTATTAAACCTTTACTGTGTCTTTTCCTATTCCTCTATTCATTATTTCAAACTTTTAACCAGAGAATTTAACTTTGCACAATTTTATGGAAATATAACCGATACAATTTTTACAGTGTGTAGTAAGAAGCATCAGTCGAAAAAAAAATTGGCCAGGTTAAAAAAAACTGGTTTTGCTTTATAAAATAATCTTTCTGATTAAATTATGCATGTACTTAAAAGTATGTTACATTATATCTTCATGTGTTTTTAATATTGTGCAAAAACCAAAGTCATTTGAACAATTCTTAAACACTTTAAGGTTTTCAAGATATTAATAACAATATATTTTCTGAAACACAAATAGAAAAATAGCATCTAATGTCATAACTCCACCACTAAAACAATTTCAAGCAATCTGTACAAGTTACTTTTTCTTGTCAACTGTTCTCTTATACTTCATTCTAGCATTACAATAAAGTGAAATTTAGAAATAAATTGCAAATAACTCATTGTCTTTGCATCTCAGTGAGTTCAAGTACACCTTCATATTCAACATTACCTTTATTGCAATGGATTCCCAACTACAAAATTACCAGCTAGTCCTCACAAAAGATTTAAGCACACCTAACTAAAGATTAGAAAACATCAACATCAGTATACTTCATATTATTTCCAAATTGTAAAATACAAGTGCTGTGACAGTAATAGAATCTATTTCACAACACCACAAAACAGAAAAATTACCTATCTAGAAACTCATTATTTAAATAAAAAACAACTATATGCATCAATAACTTGATATAAGCATCTAAATAAAATTATGTTATAAATATTTAAATTTTGAAAAAACAAAAATAAAAAAAGATTTATCAATGCTACCAAAACCTCAAATGTTAACTTTTTTACAGTATTATACAACACAGAAATTTAGCACCCCTAATAATTATGGATCCAACTTTTTAACCTGTACAATATTTGAAATTCTAGTACATTTTAAATTAAAATAAGAACAAAGAATATTTTCTTAGAATCACCAGTATTCTTTCTAATGATGACATAAACAATATGTTATCCTGCAAGTTATTAAACTAAAAAGTAATTTCATGTTCAATACTGTGTGGTAACAACAAAATTTTAACCAGCACTCCCAGTAAATCATCGTTAATAAAAAAAAATATCATAAACAACCAACACTGCAATTACTGGAAAAGAATTTAAAACAAACTTAACAATACCTCATATTACAGTTTTAATTACTAGTTCAGTTTATTGTGCTGGGTTTTGAGCAATATTTTTCATATAAAAAACATATCAAACACTGAGTGGAAGAAATCTGACATACTTAAGACTGACCTATCTTCCAACTTACTTTAAGTATATAAATACAAGGTCACATAAGTATGAGTAAGAGAACCATCCAAAAATGGTCAATTCTCCTATTTTTCTGTTTGTACTGCTAATATTAATATCCTAGAAATACTTATAAATATGTAGCTAACAAACTTTAAACTTACAACATTCAAAAAGTTTTATGTATATTTCACTTTTGCTAAACTATTGTTAAATTAACATTATCTTCTGCCCATTTGACAGCATATTTCAAACAAAGTGTACTTCAGTATACTTTTCTTTTTAGAAAATTCGAAAATGTATTTTAAGTGCCTCCTTTTATAGCAATTAATCAGTGTTTCTTCCCCATATTAAGTTTTAAAATTTAAGCTATTGTGGCATATCTGTCAACTTTTAATTAACAGTACAATTACTTTTCAATACATAAAAACACCTTTACAGCTAAGTTTTCATGTGTGTAAAAAAGTAACATTCCTTATTATAACAGACTAGACTAAACATTAGGAACAAAATACATCAATCTTAAGTATTAGAAAACAACAGAGCCAAAGCACAATATCCATGTTTCCCAAGTAAAAAGAATGCTTTTTTGTCACATGGATAAAATAGGTAGTTGATTAAATCAATTACCTATGAGAACTGATTAGTGTGACATAAAATTATTAATTAATCAAAATTAGTTTTCTTGATTATTCAAATAACCCAATTAATTGAGATATTGTCATCATGTCATCCCAGTTATTTTCTCTACTCATGGAAACAATCAACTCATCGAAATTAATATTTTTAATTATAAGTTTTTGATAATTCCAACTACCCAAATAATTGAAATATTGCTATTATGATTTCTCGTTATTATTTTCGATTAACTCAAGTTTATTCACATTATTATCAAGACTCATGAAGTTAATCAATTAATTGATATTAGTGTTTCCACTTTTTACTATTTTTGATTATTCCAATTTTTGAAATAATCAAAATGTTACCACCACAAATTTCCATTATTATTTTTTCACCAATTCAAATCTGTTCAGCTTTGCCTGCTGGTTTCATCATCGAGGGTCATGGGTTCAATTTCAGTTGCCATCAAATACTCTTCCTTTCAGTCATAGGGCATTATATTTGTTTTTGAGATATGGAAAAGCTACTGAGGCTATCTGCCATCATCTCTAAGTTTGAACTGTTAGCTAGAGGGAAAGTTACTGGCCATTACCAACTCTTAGGCTAATGCTTTATCAATGAATAATGGGATTGTAACATTATAGCTCCTACAGATGACAGAGCAAAGATGTTTTGTTGTATTGGATATCAAACACATGACCCTCAATTCATGAAGCAATCACCAGCCTGGGGAGATTATAATGTAATAGTTAATCCTATTTCTTGGTAAAGTAGCCCAAGAGTTGGCAAAGAGTGACGCCAGCTCTTTGCCTTCCCTCTGATTGGTAGTTCACAATGAAGGACAATGTCAGATAATCCTGAGTAGCTCTGCCACAACTCAAACAAACTTGTTCAGCTTCCTATAAACTGTGTTCATACATGACACAATAGCTAGCACTACTTACACTGGTATGTTTATACACAAATCATGAATGTGATGGTGTGGCCATTTGACTATTGGTTACAAACCTAGCCACAGTGATGCTTGCTGTTCATGTTTTACTTGTTTAGATTAAACAATACTGTAGCTTTAACATAATATATTGCTTCCTTATTCTAGTGTGCAATGCCAAATAAACATGCAATAAGGATACAGATATGTCCAATCAGCATTTTGCTCATTCATTTTTGGTTTACTTCATGCTGGAGTATTGTTGTGTACAAAATAATGTATAATATTATGCCCATGATAGTCTTATTCTCCTCTACCTCTAAGAAATGAAGCGATACGTGCTATTAAGTTTATTGTCATTTGTACAGATCAGATATAGCTAAAGTATCCATGTGTGTGATTGCCGAGATGTAATTGTGTTCATACAAAATCCTAAACTTGATCTAGTCCATAGAACTAAGTATATATAACTTATGATAACCTGTACCTAATAGTAATAATACTAGTTACTGTTTGTTTAGTATTTTTCTGATTTATAATCAATGTTACAAAGTAATATTTATTTTCACCAAAAAGAAGTCAATAGCTTTAGTAGTCTTGTGAACATTTGTAGGGAGAAATCTATAGAATGGTATTATTTGTATATTCAAATTTTAACAGGTTCTGTACAAGTTAGGGTTAAAAAATGCATTATCTTAAATCCTTGTACCAGAAAATGTCTATCACATTAAATGAAGGGTAGCTTAAAAATATATTAATAAAAAACAATTCAAGACATGCTGAAAGTAGGAACATTAGCCTTGTGTGAAAAAAAAAAGTTAATAAACCCAGTGATTACAAATTCCACTAATCAAACAGCTCTGATGCATAATGAAATTTGTGTGCACTAAAAAAACCACAAAGAAAAACCACTTCAAAAAGATATAGTATAAGGCTTACCATTCGCACTTCAGCATATTCATTCTGATAACTTAGGCAGCAACAGTAAGTGACTACATATTTAATATAAAAACATTAATATAGTTGAATTTTACCTACATAAAATAAGCAAAATGTATTTTTTCTACAGAAAATAAAAGCATATATTGTCTGCAAAAAGATTTTTTCATAGTAATGAAAGATATTAAACCAACATATATGGATGAGTCAAAACATACAAAATTATAAAAAACAACAGAATCTACTTGGTTGTAATTATTTTAACAGATCTTACTCTGACAACATTTAATTTGCTTTTCATACTGTAATTGCAAAATTTTATAACTAAAAATATAATACATGGATCCGGTATTAATATCATGATCACATAACAATCAATAGAAAAGTTAAGTGTATTTACATATGAATGCTTAGTTACTAGTCCAGTTCCACCTTCTCTCACTTTAATTATTACTAAAGTGAAAACAAAACCTGGAAGAGGAAAAAATGAAGTAAAAAATGAAGATGATTTTATATTACAAGATAATTTAAATGACAGTCAAATTATTATAGTATTTTGGCACTTGTGTATAAAGTTAAAATCATAAATAATATTCAACATTAAACTGGCACACAATTAAAAACATTTTATTTAGGCCTATCTATGGTCTAAATAAAATGTTTTTAATTGTCTACCAGTTTAACATTGAATATTATTTATGATTTTTGACAGTCAAATTGTTCTTAAAGCACACAGGTAAATATTATTATTTTGTTTCTTGTCATCATAATGCTACTAGACTTAGATTAAACTACTTATTTTATTTCCAAGCCAAGAAAAATAAAAAGAAGTTAATCCAAATAAAAATATTATCACTGTGTACATTAGTAAAAATAGCTGTTCCAAATTCACAGTGAAAAACTGCAAAAATGTATTTTGACTTAATAAATTTTACTAATAAAAAGGGTAAGAAATGAAATATAATATGAAGTTATATTCTAAACTGAAAACTAAAAGATATATATTAAAAACAAACATAAGTTTAGATCAATATTGTGTGTTTGATAATCCAATGATAACAGCACCGAATGTTTTTCACAAATGTGTATGAGCCACAGCAAGGAGAAAAAAGTAGTGACAGCTCAACTGAATCAAATGAAAAGAGATCTCACTACACATTTTCAAGGGAATTTTAAAGAAGCAAGGTTTGATTGAAATCTCTTTGCTCTTTTTCATAATGTCACTAATAACAAACATGGATTATTAGACAGTTACAATGATAATTACCTCTACAAAAACTAAAATATCAAGAAATTATTAGGATATTAAAAAAAGTTACACATTATTAAGCAAATCAAAGGAAATCAGCAAGTAAAATAATTTAACAGTGTGAAAAAAGGCTTATTAGTGTCAATTTCTAAATGGACAATTAACAAATTTTCTTCTGAGCGAGTTTCAAAAATTCAAAAGCCAGAAAAATTTATCAATAATGTCTTTGCCATAGAAACAATAGCAGTTTAATCAGTTCACAATTTTACTTTAATAACAAATACTTATAGCTAAAATAGTTTGAAACCCTTATTGAAAACTCAAGAATAAGAAATATTTTTGTTTAAAGTTTTACAAATTTCTGTAGATAAGCAAATATATTTTGATTTTTACTCCTTTTGAATATAGGAGTAAGCCAAAGCATTGTCATACACCCATAAGTCAAACAGATGGAACAGAAATATCCTTTACACTAATAACTTTGAAGTATATTTCTTAATGTAAGGTGCCAAAAATATATAACGCTTATTTTGTATATTATGTATTCACAATATAAATAGGTATTCAAATATCATTTTTTACTGATTGATATTTGTTCCAAAACTGTCCCTATAATTAATATGTAGGGCTTTACTTTACTTAGAGTTTCCGAAACCATGTTTCTTTAACAAAAGTCTCAATGTTGATTGTGAAATGTCATTAACTTGAGGGAAGTTGGCTCGATCACACAGAACATAGCTCTGTATCTGTTT